TTGCATCGGAATTGATATTTCAGATTAAGTACGCCATTTGCACGTCAAATATCCAGAAAGCAAAGCCACTCAATGTAATTTACAAAATTTTGTTTTATTAAATTTACAATTTCGATACATAAAATTCAACAAATTGGACAAATTTCAATCATTTTGTGGCATATAATAGGCCAACATTGGATGATGATGTAGTTTGCAGCATTATCATTTCAGCAATTGAAATGATATCTCGTTCGATATGAATAGCTGTCAACTGTTTTTGACACTATGCTTATGATTTTGTTAGCAAGTTTTCATTTTATTTATTTTTTTTTCAATTTTCGGGTTGCTCGGTGTGTTATTGTTTGTCTTTCGCAATCTATATGGGTTTTTTTTCTTCAAATAGCTGATAAACTGGTCTATGACATCTTTTTGCATAAAGAGCATTTTGGCTGATTATTAGTCTACTGAACTACAAAAATGGCTATATCATTCATAACATATTGATAATGATTTTATTTATCGCTTCTTTTAGCATAAAATTAAAATGGATACAAATGGGTAGTATCAAAAACTGAGACACCCCTTTAGATACTTGCAAAATCTTATAAAAAATTTAACTAAAAATATATTTTTTTTTCTCCTTTTTTTCTACTTCTTTTTCTCTTGAATCATTTTCTTCGAAATAAACTTGCATCTTTTTCTTTCTTTTTTTTTGGATAGAAAATATGGAACAAAAAAAAGAAAGAGAGGGAATATCAATAAAAATAAATTATTATTTACATAGTATATAAATGTGTTTTGTTTAACTGTTTCGTATTTACGAAGAAAAGTTCGAATTTAATGTAAAATGTAAAAAAAAGGAAAAAGAAAAATCATCTGGTTGATAAATGCTCAATTTCAAAAATAGCCCAATCGAATTTGAACGATCTATCAAAATCTTCGTATTAAATCTGTGTAGCATATGTATAGATCTGTCATTTGGTCTTGGCCTGTCGTAAATTAGTCTACTCTACATATAACTTATTGGTCGCTTAAATCAAAATCCTTTTCCCAACTCTCATCGGATGCAGCGCCGGTATCCGTTTTTAGATCTTCAGCTAAGCTACGTTCTTTAACTACAGTCGTATCTCCTTTATCGTTGCCTTGATTCTTTTTTGATGCCGATTTTTTAGCATCATCGCCGCCGCTGTTTTGTGCCGTTTGTTTTGATTTTGCATTGGATTTGGTTTTCGAATTATCTACTTGTTTGCTGGTTGTGCTGTTGGACTTCGTCGTATTTGATTTTTTGCTCGCATTCGCACCTTTCTGAGACGTCGGTTGGGTTTTTTGTTGGTCTTTTTTATTTCCTGCTTTCGGTTGTTCGGACTTGGTATCGGTCTTTGTTCGAATCTTTAAAGAAATAATCATCATTTGAGTTTCAATTAATATCATTTAAACTAAGAAAGCGTACCTTTTCTTCTAATGGAACCACTTGGCTTTTTCGCTTCTCCCGCTCCATTATTTCCGCTTCATACTGTTCCAACAGTCGAGCCTGTTCTTCTTCGGAAATTTCTTCGTTACCAAAATCGTCTGCATCCCATTTTATGTCAGAGTCTTCGATGATAAGCTCGTCGGATGCTAATTTGTTTTTTGATTTACGAATTTTTTATTTTTATAAATACACATTGATACATATCACATTGTGAATAAAAACTAAAGATATTGCATGTCACCTACCAATTTTTGCTGACTCAACTTGTTCTTCGGCTTCGTCTTTTTCGTCAGCAGGCTGAACGGTTTTCGGTTGTTCAGTTTGAATGATTTCGCCGGCTCGTTTTGGTGAAACCGTTTTGGTTGATCGAATTTCGGCTTTGGCTCGTCGTTCGGCCATTTCAGCGTGTGCCAATGCATCCTCAAGCAAAGCACGTTTGAATAAATAGTGCTTCCAAAAGTCCATATGCGGCAATTTATCCGGCACAAGGCGCAAATATTTTTCGTTCAAAATTTCGCTGCTGGTTAGATGACGTGCCAACTGATTTTGCGTGAATTGATCCTGGTCGACGCATTCTAGCCAACCTGTAATAGAAATTGAGGGTGAACATCGAATTGAATCTCAACAAATGTGTGTCAATATTTTACGTTGATAGTTCTCTTGGAGTGTCGCATCTGGTGGCGATAAAAATGTTGCTTCATTTGCTTGTAGTTCGGCTAAATGCTTTTGGAATCCGGTTAAGGTGACGGCGCCTTCACTTGTGATGATTATCGCCTCGGATTCATCATCTTCGATGCTTGGGACCAATGCTTCGCTGACTTGTCCAAAGAATGAGCTGAGACTCTTTTTGACCGTACTTGCTGTCGATTCAGGTTCGTCCAGCTTTAGCGTATCATTGAGAACTGTTCCAGCGTGTGACACTTCCGTGCGAACAGCTGTTGAAATTTCATCTAAATCACGTTTCACCGCCTCAAAAACAGACACCGACTGCAACACAAACAAACCAAATTTTTTTTTCGTGTAAGCCACGTTTCAACATTCCAGTTTTTGTTTTCTATCCAAATACAAAATCTATTTCTGAAGGTATTTTCATTTTCACTCTACCTTTGTTTTCGCTGAATTAATCCATGAGCCCCACCAATTATTGTTGCCTACTGTTTTGCACTCCGAACTCTTGTCTTCTACGGGACTTGATGCATTTGCCATATTGTTATTCGCATTACTGATGTCTTCATTCGTTGTTTTTTCACTGCTTGTGCTTTGTTTAGTTTTTTCGCTGCTGTAACAAAGAGGAAAAGAGAGAGGGAGAAAGAAAAGAAAAAACAATTCGAGTCAAACAATACACCAATTAGATACACCTTTTACTTTGTCATCAACCCAATCATGAATATACTCCAAACTGATAACCATTCCTTTTTTTTCGCTCACTATTTCGTCCGATAAAATAATCGCGTTGAGAAAAAAAAACAAATGCAACGGAACAAATTTTGTTTACGTATTGTTCAATTGAAGGCAAACAGTGCACGAGTTGCAAAAAACACAATTCCACTACAATAGAAACAATTTGGATTGCGTCGTTCAAGCAAATGAAAATATTGCATAAAAAAAATTAAATTCAGATCGTCTTTCGCTGGTATATGTTTGTATAAAAAAAAGCAAATTCCAATAAGTGTCCACATGTTATGTTCTACTTACCTATCTGCCATTTTATCGATGGATTTATTCCAATGAGATACAACTCTTTTTTCTTCGTCTTTAAAACAAATTCGATGTCACACACACACAGCAACGTCAAAATCAATTTGAACACAATAATTATTCACGCTTTCAATACGAAACACCAAACTGAACCAAAAAAAAAACCAAATTATACGCTCTACGTGAACTCTCTTTTCTAGCGCGTTTCGTAGTATCGTGATGATGGCGAGAGAGAAAAAAAATACAAACACTGAGATTGC